TATAATGTTTGACAGTAAAATTACACAGTTTTTAATGTTATTTAAATCTACTTAAATATCCTTCTTTTACAGATATTTGCATTTTTTTCATTTTTTTTTTTAACAGTTTTTGGAAGTCACAGTATTCCACCATTGATTAATGTTTTATTCTTTTCTCTATCCTTTTATTTTTTTAAACAGTGCAGAGAATAAATGATCTCAAATAAAGATGACGAGGTGAAGCAAGGCCACACGCTGCTGCTGTGCAAAGAATGCGGATCCACTTTAACGTCATTCTTTGTCCTGTTTTCTTCTTTTAATAAACTAATACTGTCAATGCTCTGCATTTTTTTCTTTATAACAAAATTGAATCAAAATCAATTACAGAAAGCACCCAACACTCACTGCAGTGAAATAAGGCTGTTTGTGCTTCTGTTTGTTCTTTTCAAATAACTCCCAACAAGAAAATCAATTTAGGACTTATGGCTTCTATTAAGTTTTTCAGCTCCTTGTCATACTTTTGTTTTTTTGTGTTGGTCAACCTTCCTAAACAGCAAGTGAAACAATACCCAGCAGGCGTCACAAGATAAGTTACTGACGCTCAGGAAGGTTTCCCTTCCCTTTATTTTTTCTGCCTTTTCCTCTGCAGGTCACTTCTGTGTAAAAAAAAAAAAAAAAAAATCTCAGCTTTACCACCATCTGCTGCACACACTCACACACCTACACGCTCGGATTACACACACACACACACACACACACACAGGCCATCACACTACTCCCACACAGGATATGCAAATTACTCCTGAGCTTCACAGCCTCGAGCAACTAACTTCTCTCACTGGTAAAATCAAACATTCTCCATAAAATTACAGATGACAAATTGTAGAATTTGGGGAGATATTTCTTATTGCACAAGTGTGTGATCTGAACTAATCAACCCGGCGGCCATAAATACAGAGTTGCTCAGGATAAGCCTGCAAATAACTCAATCATACGCTTCCTGTTTTTGAGCACGTAGTCGGTGACCTCAGAAGGAGGAGCACAGGATGTGCTCCAAGTGGAAGATACAGATAGAGATTTCCTAGACAGTTTTAATTGAAACACATGTTTAACTTTGGCAGGAGCAGATAAGTTGCATCTGTTGTGCAACTGGAGGAGTGTTGTGCTGTTTGTTCCTGTTAGGGTGATTGAGTGTGAAGCCTGATCATCTTGTTCCACTAAAAACAACATCATTTCTCTGACATGCGTGTTTTGCATTGTTCTATTCGGCTCCTCACACAGTGAACTTTCCTTTCTCTGTCTCTCTCTTGTTTTGACTTTGTGGAGCTTGTGGCCTCGCTATCCTACACCACTTTACTGTGAGTAAACAACTCAGTAGTGTGAGAACTGTCCGGTCAGTTTCTCTTCTGTCTGGCTGAGCAGCAGAGGTCATGTGATTCATCAACATTTCATTTAGTTTGTCACATCAGCTGAACTACTAATTACACTGATGCCACTTTGCTCATGTTGTCCACTTCCCTGTGGAGTCACTAGACATCCAGCTAATCATCATAATGTTTCCTAACAGTATGTTCTGTTAAATGAGAAGTGACACAAACACCAGACTGCATTTACTCTAAATGTGTCAAGAAATTGCTCAATCCTCCTTTCATCACACCACTGTCTGACCGCCTGGCAGGCCTCTGATTTATTTATACAAACTGCTTCACTGTGTTTGTTTATTTGTTTGTTTGTGTTGTTAATTACCCAGATGTAGGTTTTCCCAAATAACTTTTTCCTCCCTAGATACGCAGTCTTTAGGCCACAGACCCACTTTAGATAAGATTTTGTCAGCAGGAACCACATTTGAGCGGATGTTTATTATTCGATGTAGCTCAGTATAAATGGTGGAATAATGTTATGGTGTCATTAAATAGTAGTTGACTTTCTATGTAGACTGCAGACTTCTTAAAGTGCAAAAGCAGATGTTCGTCTCCTTGTTACATTAAAATCAAGTGGTAAAGTAGAAATACAACCATTCCTCTTGCAGCGTCTCCACTTGTCCAGACTGCCTTTCATTTGTAGAGCAACTTGTTGGACATTAGCTGGTTACTTCTAGTAAGTTACACATTACATAGGCTGGGTAATGAGGCCGCAGTCCTTCAAGTCCCTCTCTGGTCATTGATTAAACCGGTAAAAAACAATCTCTGTGTATTAAAGTCACATATTTAGAAGGGTTTTGTTTTTGTTTTTTTGTCCATGGAAACCATCCCTGTTTGCTTTAAAATGCCTGGGATGTAAGTTTGAGCTTCCTCTCCACACTCGCTGCAGCTCAGGACATCAGCTCACTTACAACTCAGCTCGGTTAAACTACTGTTCTACGCACAATGACCCTGTTTTCATAACGTTTTGAGCACATTTTGAAGTATTACATAAGAAAAAAAGAGAAAAATTACACTCACTTGAGGTGGTTTTTCACATTTAAAACAAACAAAAAAAAGATTTAATGGGCATAATAGGGATTGAAACTATTAAATTCAGACTAAGGACACATTTGACTTAGTTGACTGATCAGCTTCTGTCATTCTCTTCATCTCTGAGCAGGATAAAACATATCCAACACCAGCTTACATAAAAGAATATTTCCAACTTGCCCAATTGAATTCCCTCTGTCTCCATTTTTCTCCAGTTTCTTCTTCCTCTTTAAGGTTTTTTAGCAGTTGGCAAAAAGCTGGTTTTGTCTCAGGCATCTTCTCTTCTGCTTATTACAGTCATGTATGTGTTATGTAGCATATATCACGACCTTCGGACGATGTTTCAAAAGTTTACTTTCAAATTCCTCACCAATATGGAACCACAGCTAAAGACAGGTAATTCCACCATCCATGCTTTAACTGGAAATCAACTCTCCAGATGAATAATAATACAGAGATACCCACCCTGCAAACTGATTGGACTGATTCCTCAGGCTGGGCTCCCAACACACGTTTTGAGTAAATGCACCATCATTTCAGAGGAGAAATGTTGTCTGGGATGTTCATCATGGGTTATTTGCTATTGTTCTGGGTTTACAGATGTATTCTGAAACCTCCTAAACTACTTGCAGACTCATCTGGGCTGCCTCGTTAATATCAAATATGTTTGATATTTTGAGTTAGAATTCGGATGGTTCAGATTATCACTGAATACCGCTGGAGTCAAGCAACACCAAACATTCTGAGCCCTGAGGCTTGAAGTCCCGTACAGATTTTCAAAGTCATGGTTAAAATCTGACCTCCAGCTCTTGATGAAGAACAGTAAACCACACTGACTACAGCTTCTCAGCCATTGTCACATCCATACTCATTTAGCCATCTTCTTTAGTTTTTTTCATGTTGAAAAGTCTAATAAGCACATTGTTGTTGCTCCACAGTCTTCATTTGTTTCCATTTGCTTCCCCATGAGATCATGTGAGGTGGTGCTCTGCTCCCTGACTGCTCCCTCTCCGTGACCATTTTGTCTGTGATGTGCCATTATTTTCAAACCTTGTCGTGTGTTGTACGTCCAGGATTAGAAAGAAGAATATCTGTGAAGTTTCTCCTTGTATGATGTGGTATGATTTGAAAATCTGTTGGGATTTTAAAACTTCTGAGGGCAGCACTAGGGTGGGATATGTTGGGGTATGTTGAGCCTACAGTTAAGTTATTGGTATCAGGAAGGTGCTTCTCTTTTAACCTGCTAGATCGCTATGGTAACTGATGCTGCACAGCTAACCTGCTGCAAAAGAAGTTCTGTTCACAGTTTGGGTTTCAATAAGCTGTAAAAAGCATCACAGTTCTTTCCTGATTATATTCTTTCTGAGTGATCCAGATTATCAGCTGAAGTAATACATTAAACCTGTAAACCTGTTGCTGTACATTAGTAATCCCACTGAACAAAGCTGTACAGTAGCGCAAACTGTATGTGTTGTGTTGCCACGGAAACCTTCATGTATTCAGTTAGTGATGCAGAAAATGCACAAATATGTTTTTATTCTTGCTGCCAAGTCTGTTTTACACTGCTGGCACTGACTGCAGCTGATGGAACACAGATTAGAAGATTGATTTGTCTATTAGCATTTATTGCAGAGAACATTCAATCAATAATAGTAATTTCTCCTTCAGTTGGGCAAAAACTAAAGTGATATCCTGCATTTTAGGACAGTGTCAGATGGAAATGCAACATTTAATGTTTATGAGCTCTAATGTGCAATCGTCCAGTTGGGAATAAGAAGCTGATTTAAGAGTAGACCAAGTTTTAAAATAAATACATTAACTTACACCATTAACAGTTTTCTAGCTGCATTTCTTTCTTGCATCACTTGGAGCAGCAGCATTTTCACCATGATCAAATATTCATATTCCTCATAGCTCTGCGTTGTAATAACTCCTTCCTCTTAACTGAAGCAGGCAGCACATGATCGCTTCATTTTGTGTTGAAGGGGAGTCACATGATGATGAGAGAAGGGAAGAAAGCCTGGATAGAAAGAAAGTTTATATCACGATACCATCATCTCTGACTGGGGTTTTCAGGTTTTGTCGAGCCAGGCAACACAAAGAAAGTCTGGCTTTGTCGAACTACCTGCGTGGTGCACTTCTCTGTAATCTGAGCCTTAGTTTTGTCACATGTGAACCACAGAAGTCATTTTGTTGAAACTGACATTGGGTGACTGGTTATTTAGCTCAGGATATGTTGTCTATTACATAACACACACAATGCTATTGATGTAAAAACTTGATTTTCACTTGAGAGAATATTTATGTGAATGCTGATTATTGTAAGCATGATGATACAACCTGAGCACGTTGCAGTCTATATGAATCAATGCTGCATATTTAACTTTTATTCATATAAATATCTTAAAAGTAGTAAAACTTAGTTGTTTTGCTTCTCATTGATTAACCTGCATAATTACCTGCTTCATTATTATTCAAGGCGGGGCGCTGTAATTGGCTGACAGGCGGTCTGACGTCACAGCTCTCGGGGCAGGGAAAGGAAAAAAAAAAAAAAAAAAAAAAAGGATCCGTGAAGCTCAGAGCGAGTCTCCTCTCTGAGAAAACCGCCGTCAAGTTTTGACACTAACAAGACTAAACTCATGACAGAGACCGGGCGACGTGTAGATTTAAGGTTGTGTGGCCCTTTTCTTCTTCACTGTGAGCGCATGTGGGTTTTTTACAGACTTTAAACTGGTGGTTTGTAACGCGACGTCCAGCTGCCTGGGATCGTCTCTCATCTCGAAGTTCCCAAGATGAACTTCGGTCCGGTGGTCGGGAAACTTTATGTGAGTAAACACGACAGTAAAGCTCTCTGGATACTCTTTTTGTTCAATTAATAGCACTCTGTTTGCGTATATTCCTCCTAACTCACTTCCAATGCTTCAATAATGCGCGTAAATGTGAATATGTTTGATTAAATGTATCTTAAAGTGATACAAAGTGACATTTCTCAGCCGCAATGTCGCCACATGAGCTGTAATGTATAAAAAGCCTTCTTGTTTTATTAAATGAAAGCTCACAGCAGACTAACTTGGCCTCCTGTTGGAGCTGAAATCACAGCCAGCCTCTGAAGTTGTGTGAGAAGATGAAACAGGCGCCTTTTTTCATTGTCATAGTCAGGAAGCAACATTGTGTTTGTTGTGTTTATTTCTTTGGATAATGTTTACTCATGTAAACCCTGCTGGCTCTTGTCTCTGGTTCTCACTGCTCTGTACAGTACATGTGCTGTATCATTCACTCAATGCTTCCCCTCCCCTCCCTCCCAACATTACAGCCACCATCTGTGTTGGATATCATGTGGTCATATTGTTCAGACATCCAGCATATGATGGCTCTCGCTCTGTCACAGCGGATGTAGCTGCTCTCACAACCACTAATATTATTAATAAGTGCAGCCGTGGCCTGCTGTGGAGCGGCTCAGCCAAGCTTCAGACCAAGTGCCTGTGAAGAATTTGGGATGGAACATCAGTTTTGACCCCCCAAAAAGCCAAGAGTTCACCTTGCCAGTTAGGCCATTAAAGTCTCTCGACAGTTTTTTCCAGTTTTATTCCACTCAGTGCTTCACAGAGACGTCTTTTCATTCCTCCGCTGTTGTTTTTTCCAACTGTGCAGCACCAAAGCCTGACACTATAAATACTGTAAGCTCACTGTACGGCCTTCATGCGCCGCTGTGTATTAAAACTCTTGAATTAATGCAAAATACACTTTTGGATTTTATTTGGGAGACTAGAAGGTCATACTTGTCTTCCCACACAAACTTTGCCGGATTACATCGCAGCATGAAATAAGAAGCAGTGGAAAATGGATCCTAATGACGGCGCTTTGGCCTCGTGCGCCTGATAAGGGCGATGGTGTTAGTCATTAAACTTGAGGTAATGCAGCATTTGATCACTGTCGCTGCTCTTCTTCTCGCTGTAAATGTGGCTGTTAAAGTAAATGCTGATGTGCCCCTAGCTCCAGTGTTTGTTTTCGCCGCTGTCGGATCCGTGTTTTAAGTCATGCAGTGTTCCATTACTGAAATCAGATTTACTTCCCCGGGTGGCAAAGTCAATGTTTATCTCTTTTGTAAACCACAGTACATTCTGGAGGCCTGGCCAGCAGGCCTTGTTGCTAGGGGACTATGAGGAAACTTCAACCCCCTCCCCATCCCCTTTACCCCCTCTCTAATCCCCCCCACACACACCCTTTCAAATTGCCTGAGTCTACGTGCCTGGCTGTCCAGTAAACTTCCTGTCTACCAGTACACAGATATGCTGATATTAGTGGCATCAATTTACTTCTTAGAATTGTCATGCCCATGCAAATAATCACAAGATTGTTATCTGTGATTGCTTACTGTATGTCTGGGTGTTGGTTCACACAGGAAATAGTCCCCTCCGTCTCTGTGGACAACACAGACAAGGGCAGGACTGACATCTGGGACGAGCGGAGGCCAAACTGTGACGCTGGGGACCGAGCAGTGGTCAACAAACTCACCACTGTAGAGTTCCTAATGCTGTAGCTGCTGCTTATTGCTGCCCTGCTCAGTGACCATGTGAACAGTTATAAGCATGCCTGTGGCTTAGAGAAGCTACACGGACACTGAATGATGCAATGCAGTGCAATCCGCTCACTGTCAGATACCAGGTGGTTGTGTGCCTTTTTATGTTCGTTTATGTCTCTGCCCACATAGAGAGGGATGTTTCATTGTCGGCAGATTGATTCTTCTGGATCATTCTGGAACCTGTTGTTGTTGTCGCTGTTGTTAAGGTGAATCACCTCGCCGCTATCAAAGGGCTACTGACTCACTTAGGGAGTGCCACCTGTTCAGGTGCTGCCTACTCACGTAATGCATACCAGCAGAGGCAAGTCACCGCTCTCACACATGAATGGTCGGCTTGGAGATAAGTGGGGATAATTTACAGTGTGTCAAACGTCACAAGATAAACTCCGCAGCTTCACCTAGCTTCACCTGACTCGTATAATTTTTTAGATCTAAAAAGCTTCTAATTCCACAGTAGATTTGCAACATACTCACAGATGGTTCTTCAGTGTTTACTGAAGATGTCCGATGGATCACATGAGTCAGAGGTTGTCTCTGAGGACATTACTATAGGAATGGACACTAGGTGCCAAAGGGTGTGAAGCTTGATGCTTACTGGAGGCCATGCTTCTCCAAGTCTAAGTGCTTTGAAGTACTGCTGTGGACACAAGAATGAATGTAAACTCTGTGAAGGAGTCTAAAGATTCATGTGTATCATACAAAAGCATTCTGTTCATAGAAATGAGAAATTGCCAAGTAGAAAGAAGTCACTGCTATATCACTGTTGCGTGTCTCTTAACAGATGCCACCAAAGCAAATGTTGGAACTTCAGTAGTGTTGAAACAATTTCACAGTCAGTTAGTCCTCAACTATTCTGATAAGTAATTGTTTTGGCCACTTTCTAAGCAAAAATGTCAAACAATCTCTGCTCCCAGCAGCTGCAGCGTTAAAGGCCAACTGCTTCTCTCGGTTCAACATTGTTTACAGATTACCATTGGTTGGACTAAAGACATATTTGTAATGACATCTTGGGCTGTAAAAAACAAGCTGCTAAGCATTTTTCCTACATTTTTTTTGTAAATATTAGACTAAAGACTAAAAGAATGTTTATTTAATGGAAGAGGTAATTGACAGATTAGTCATTACTGAAGTCATGTGATGAGTCAGAGGTTTGCTGTTTTCTTTGAGGACATTACTACAGGAATAGACACAAGGTGCCAAAGGGTGCAAGGCTTGATGCTTACGGGAGACTTTGCTTCTCCAAGTCAAAGTGCTTTGAAGCACTGTTGTGGACATAAGAATGAACTTTGTGAAAAGGAGTCTAAAGATGCATTCAAAGTGTGTAGTACAAAATTCTATTCAGAAAACCAAGAAATTACCTCTCGAGATGCCACCAATGGAAAGAATTCCAGTTGTGGTGAACAATTAGTCAGTTAGCCTTGAGTATTTACTTGAAAGGATTCTCTCAATATTGCCCTTGCTTTTTTCTTTTACACTGCATTTTTCTTTAATTAGGTGGGAAAATAGAGACAGAGAGAGAATGGGGGATAGAGGGAAGCTGGCCAGGATTCAATTCAATTTTATTTGTATAGCGCAGTTCACAACACATGTCATCTCGCAGCACTTAACATAGTAAGGTGAAGACCTTACCAGCAAATTATTGCAGAGGACCATGTAGTATGCAACCAAATCACAAGACCACTGGGTCACCACGCCACTACATTTATTAGGGGAGATGTCGACTGAAATAACTAATTTCATATTTTTATTTGTCATAACAGAATATTTTGGAGGTCTCAGGAATAGGTGACAACTAACTTCACTGTTGAATATTTTCTCTAATAATTATTAGGTCTAAAAAAAAAAAGGGTAAAACACTAAAATGTCAGTGTTGCCTAAAGTCTAAGAGGATTTCCTCAAATACCTTGTTTTGTCTACAATCAAAATATCTGAAGATATTCAGTTTACTGCCATAGAGGAGGAAAGAAACCAGAAAATATTCAGATTTAAGAGGCTGGAATCTGATTTAAGATGTTTTTTTCTTAAAGAATTACTCAACACAATTAATCAACTATCAAAACAACCGATGATTTATTAGTTCACAACCAGTCTTGCAAGTCTACGTGGAAAACAGTTAGTCAGGCAACACCAGAAAATCATTAACTTTTAGAGTCAAATAATCATTAGACTGCAGCTTATGTTCTCAATGAAGCATTTGGTCCATAAAGACTATGTAGAGATAGGGAAAATGCCCTTTTTTAAAAGTTTGAGAGTACTGAGTTAGATAATTATGGGTATATTCTTAATGGTCTGGGATTAATTTTCTTTTTACAGGTGAAGGAGTGATGTAGAGACGCTGTTGAAATGTGGCATAGCATTAAACCAGAGTGACACTAGGTTTGCGTCTGAACTATGTCCTCTGCCTTCCTGCCCTCCTGAATGAAAGAACAGATTACAATAAAAGAGTTGAGCCTTAGAACAAACTCAACCTTTGTCCAGAATATGGACTTCTGTTTACAAAGGCATAAATCTGGCATAAATTCCAGCTATTGATGATCACTTAAATCCTTGTTGACCTGCCACACCAGTCACATACTCTACATTTTTGCTGCGATGTGTTTATAGAGAGGGCTGTAAACTGCCAGCACTTCATGGACTTTTTTTCCCCCCCTTTACACAAAGATGAGCTTTAATGGAGCTAATGTGATTGTCTCTAGAGCGAGGTGATGGATTCCAGCTCATACTTTAATCTGTTAGTCATCCTTTCTTGCTTTTTTTCATCCTCTCCCTCCTGGAGTTGTCTTGTGAGACGCCGCTCGGCTTCCCTGTGACGGGCCTAATCAGAATTTGAAAAGGCTAAGTTAATAGCCTTCATGCACACAAATTTAATTTGTGGATTGACGTTCAAATTCAATGTCCTTGCCTCAATAACATGCTGTATGACTCACAATGATGTTGTGTACATGTGTGAGCAGCTTGCTCTTAAAAACCACAGAGACCACCTCGGCCTTGTTACGCAAACTATTTGGAAAATGTGTCACGCTGCACCTGCTTCCAACTCTTGAACTTTTCAAAGTTTCGCCGACCCCTCTCTGTTTCAATCACAATATGTTTATGTGGTAAACATCAACGTCAGTGTGTCACTCATTTCAGCAACTTGTGGCTGTGTCTCCAAAAAAGGGAATTAATAATGTCGTCATCACAGATTGTTTTTGCACTGGAGGTGAATGTCACCTAACCTGCTTGTGACACTGTCATACGCAT